AGGCTTCCTGCTCACATAGAGACTCCAGTCCGGCTGAAATCCTGGCCCAGAACTTTGGTTTCATCCATTTCTGCAGAAAAGTATCTATCAATCAACATAGTTTTTCAAAAATGAACTTTTTATCTGTTTTTTTCTGAGTAACATACACCTGTGCCAACATGAGGAGGGGAATAAAGCAGCAACATGAGCACCTCATACAAAAAATATGAGGATGCTGCTCAAAAATGGGGGGAATTTTAAAAATAAAAGTCTTTCTAGAAGGTTAAAATGTGTATTTGTAATCTATATGGCGTCACAGTGACCACAAAAATGAGCCAGTTCTCCTCAAAATGGCTTGTTTGCTTTCTTAGTTTGAATGTAATTTGTCTCCATGACATTTGTGTTGTAAATTATATCGATCCACTCATTTATTGTTGTTTTGTCCCTTTTTTTTGCACCCGCGTAGCAACATTCTCAGAAGGTATTTGTCCCATATTGCACATTCAAGTCCACCCAGGTCACAAAGGTTCATAACTTTGAAGTTTAGCAGTATTTTTACATTTAAAAACAGTCTCCAGGACGCAAGAATCTCTGTCAAAAATGAAGCCACAGAGGAACAACAACAAAAGTCTAAGTCATTTGCATCGTTTCTGAGTTTTCCTGAAGCCAAAAGCTCCAACAGACTGTCTGGATTTTACTCTTTTATTCCTACTATAAATAAAGTCTGATGTAAAATGGCGGCAACAGCTTTTTACCCTAAACTTCTCTCTGTTTTACACATTTAAGCAAAGAAAACCTGGTTATCAAGAAGTTTCACTAACAAACAGACAGGGGAAAGAACACACTGATAAATATCAGCAGATAAAAATGGCTGTTCATTTTTGTCTTTTAGAGCAAAAACGAAGCGGAGCATAACAAATGTGAAGGGGCTGAAATTCTGTGAAAGCTTTCAGTTTCCTGGAGTTTATGAAAGAAGAAAGGAGGCGCTTTGGGGAGATTTTGATCTACAGAAAAGCCTGAAATGTGGCTTTTGCTGACTGAGTCTGGAGTCGGTTTGGAAAAGAGACCTGAGGATCATTTAGAAGCGAGCAGC